TTGAGTCGTCTCCGAATTATAGCGACCCGCCTTGGGTTACGGAGGCAGTATCACTACAGAAGTAGATGCCCAGCCTTCCTTCCGAGGAGTGGCTGGTGGGTTTGAACTGCCAGCCTTCTGGTTAGCACTCAAGTGCTTTAGGCACTACACCACCAGAGCTCCTGGGCATAAAATACAGAAATAGAAATTATGTTCACTAAAAACCCTGTGCATCAGTGTTCACAGCAACATTATTCATAAGAGCCACAAACTGGAAATCGTCCAGATGTCCTTGAACAGGTACGTGGTTGAACAAACTGTGGTACCAAGTGTGGGAGTTAAGGTTCTGTGTCAACCTGGCTGGGCCTGGCTGAGTGGCTGGGCAGCTGGTGGGAGTTATTCCCCATGAGGAGACTGGCCGTCAGCTCCACGGTGGGATCTACCCCAAGCAGCTGAGCTGCCTCAGGGGTGGGGTCTGCTTCCTGTGTAAGGAGAAGCCTCGGGGAACGGTCTCTAGCTTATGGCATGCTTGGACCCCGCATGTAACTGTGTCATTGTTAAGCAGCCTGCCATGCTCTGCCAACCTTGGGACTTTAAACAGACTTGAATTAATGGCCAAAGGCCTGCTGTGTGGTTTGGTAACATCGGGAGTGTGCCATTTTATCTGTCGACCTTGGGCTTGTCAGCCTCAGCAGCCAATAGCTGCCTGAGTGAAGAGATGCTTCCAGCTCCAGTGGGCCGGGAGCAGGAGGCAGAGCTGAGGCCCAAGGTCGAGGGGCTTTCACCCTGCCCCTAGAGCCTGGCAGTTGGAACTCGGACGTAAAGCCTCCAAACTGTAAGAGAATAAACTCCTGTTTGTTAAGGTCATCCCTTTTGTGGTATATTCCTGTCAGAGAAGCACTAGGGAACCAGAACACCATGGAACCATGATGGGCAATAAAAAGGAACAAGCTATCGGTACACATGACAGCCTGGAATCTTCAGAGAACTGTGTTGGGTGACAAAAGCCAATCCCAAGAGATTCCATTTATAAAACACTCTTTAAAAAAAAAAAAAAACAAATTTATTGTGATTTGGGTGGAAGTTTACAGAGCAAATTCATTTTCCATAAGCAGCTCACATACACATTTTGTCTCATGCCATTGACTGCAATTCCCCACAACATAACTGCTCTCTTCCCACTTCCCCCATACAGTCACCTCTTCCCCGTGTCCGTCCCTCCGTGCACCCCTGCCCCCGAGCTGTCTCCCTGTGCACACACAGCCCTTCTGTTCTCCCAGGATTGATCTCTCCAGGGAGTGTATCCACCTCAGGTACATGTTCAGCTCGTATGCCTGTCTTTTGCATTTAGAGAACATTCTTAAAATGATAAAATCAGAGATGGAAAACAGATCTGTGATTGCCTGGGGTGGGATGGTTGGGTGAGGAAGTGGGTGGGAGCAGGCAGGGTGATGGCAGTTCTCCGTCTTGACCCTGGTGGTGATTTCGGCCACACTGATCTCCTACTTTGGATACTGTACTCTGACTGTTCTCCTAGTATATAGAGTTGAGCTTATCACCCACACTAACTAACAAAACAGCTGGCAACCAAAGAACCATCACTGAGAGCCTGGGACCAGAGTAGGTAGACAACACGCAACATGCAGGGCCGTTTGAAGGTAACGCGATTCCCAGTTGGGTTCTGGGCGGGGCCAGTAAGAGGGAGCAAGCACTTCTTCAAATCGCTTAGGACCAGGCCGTTGAAGGCTCAGGGACCATCTGTGCACTGCTGTATGTTGTTCATCTGCATGTATTGTTGACTGAATGGCTAGAAGGAGCTCAAGTGGCCTAGTGCCTAAGGCACCTGACTGCTAACCAGAAGGCCGGCAGTTCAAACCCACCAGCCACTCCCCAGAAGGAAGGTTGGGCAATCTACTTCCATAGGGATACTGCCTTGGAAACCCAAGGAGGAGTCGCTATGAGTTGGGGCTGACTCGACGGCACATAACAACGACAACAACAACATAGAACATGGAATTTGAGGAGCACTGTTTGGAAGACTGCTCCAAAAGAAAGATGAGCTCCAATCCATTTTGGGCCCCAGGCAGGAGATAAAGTCCAGGACTTGCCTTGCCCTGCATTTCTGACCGCTGGTAATTAAGTTGTGAGAGGCTGAATTCTCTGGGTTTACCGGCACACCATGAATATCGGAGCAGGCGGTGGGCCGAGAGCAGGAAACCCGCGTCATGCTATTTCAGATTCGCCTCCATCTGTTGCCCTGGTGGCTGCCCTCCGTACTGTCCCGGGGAGCGAGAGATGCAAAAGCCTTAGTCCACAGAATACAGAATGACCTTTGAAAGGGAAGCTATCTACATGCGATAGGATCATGTGTTCGCCGTGTACCTAGAGCGCGAGAACAGGCAGGCACTCCTACCTCCCATTCTTCCCATTCAGCGTTATTACCAAGGTTGTTTATTAACATGTCAGCCTTTAAATTAAGGACTCAGCAAAGCTAACCCGAGGCAGGGCACATTCCACTGGCAAAGTTCAAGAGTTGCTGTCCCAAAGGCTGGCCTTTCAGATGTGCTTATCCATCAAGACATGACCCAGCACAATGACTAAGAGTCACTATCACACTCACCCAGAAACTGCAAATGATGACTAAGAAAAACCGAACCACCCAATGTGGCAACCAAAGAACCAACTCACAACAGGAAGGCTTCCATACGCAAAGTACAACTTCTACACCACAAAGCTGTCCCCAAGTCCGTCTTCCTGAGAAGCAGCCCATGCTGCCCACGAAGCCTTCCCCAGTGCCTCTCTTCATTCACTGAAAGGGATGCAAGCTTCTCCCAGGCCTCCTCTTACAACAAACTCTGTCACCTAGCCCGTCTCTCCTCATTGCAGTCTCTCCTCATTGCAGACGTAACACAGAAACCAGGATAGACAAGCTTATATTTATATGCGCTTTGTGTGTGGGGGGGGGAGCTCTGGTAGCATAGTGCCTAAGGCACTTGACTGCTAACCAAAAGGCTGGTGGTACAATAATGTAACTGATTATCAAATTAATTATATGCA